GATAGGGTCATGAAGAGTCAGACATGACTGAAACAACTCAGTGATAACCAATTCTCAGTCCTAAAACAGATGAGCTTTTTAAATGCCCACTGGATCGAAATGTCGGGGATCAGGTACCAGTTGCTAGGAGCCTTCAGGGAACCAGACCTGGCATTGTTGGGCCGCTCAAAGTGATTTTGTGTCTCCCAGCAGACGGCAGCCAGGCTTGGAGAAGGCCCCAAGGAAGTAGACCAGGTAGCAGTCCCTACAATGAAGTAGACTGGCTCCAAGCCAAATGAATGTTGACCACCTACTCCAGGGGTTCTGATCCTTTGTTGTACATGTCATAAACCCCTTAGGCCATCCATCTGGTGAAGCCCATGGGCTTCTTCTGAAAAGCCTGTTTTTGTATGCATAAAATAAAATATATATATATATTTTGAAAGTTTATTTATTTTTAAAATTTTATTTATTTTTAGTTTTCAACATTCGCTTTCATAAAATTTTGAGTTCTAAATTTTTCTCCCTCCTTCCTCTCCCCCCTCCCCAAAATGGCATGCAATCTGATATAGGCTATACGTGTACAATCATATTAAATATATTTCCTCATTAGTCATGTTGTGAAAGAAGAATCAGAGCAAAAGGGAAAAACCACAAGAAAGAAAAAAACAAAAAAAAGACAAAATAGTGTGCTTCGATCTGCATTCAGATTCCACCGTTCTTTCTCTGGATGTGGATAGCATTTTCCATCATGAGACTTTTGGCGTTGTCTTAGATCCTTGTATTGCTGAGAAGAGCTGTCTATCAAAGCTGGTCATCACACCATGTTGTTTTTACTGTGTACAATGTTCCCTTGGTTCTGCTCACTTCATTCATCATCAATTCATGCAAGTCTTTCCAGGTTTTTCTGCAATATGCCTGCTCACCATTTCTTATGGAACAATAGTATTCCGTTACATTCATATGCTACAACCTATTCAGCCATTCCCCAAGTGATGGGCATCCTCTCAATTTGCCACCATGAAAAGAGCTACTATAAATATATTTGTACATGTGGGTTAAAGTAAAATATATTTAGGATGATATAAAAAACCCATTCTATTGAAATATGGTTCTCAAACTATTGTTTAAAAAAAAAAAGGTTAAGCAGCCCTGGACTAAATCAACTTAAGTGCCTTAGAAGACCTCATGTTTTCACCTTTCCCTATGTCATCAGCTGAGTAAAGAGTCTGGTTTCTTTGCTTTTAGCAAAAGTATGATAATCCTGTAGGTGACATGTCCATTGGGCTTTATGGTTTACAAAGAGATATACAAAGAGGCCATCAGGAGGAAGATGTCCTGCCTCTGACACTGTATTACCTTGGACAAGTCCCTTTCCCTGCCTGGGCCTCAGTTTCCCCCTCTGTGGTCAACTCAATAGCCTCTGAGGGCCCTTTCTGCTCCAGATCTAGGCCTCCATAACTCTTATTATTAGCGTTACGGTAGCTCAATAGCTTCAGGCAAAAAATGAATGCTGTGTGAACAGGACAGCTAGGCAAGGCCCAAAGGCCCAGGGAAAAACCCAATCAATTGCCTCCTCCTTCATTCTACTTTGTTTTTTACAGGACCTTAGGCCTGGGGGACAAGGGCTCAGGGTGTGTTCCTACTACTGCCCTTCCCCCTCAACAACTGGATGCAAACAGAAAAAATTCAATCTAAAACCTAGATGATTTGGCTACACGATGCCTGTTTCTGGTATGTCTCCTGTGGCCCCTCATCCAGGGCTCTGCGCAGTGTTAACTGCCTGACTGTTTCCCTGCCGTCTGGCTCGTCTCTTATTTGCATAACAGGGCCCTTTTTCTCTAGTCTTTTCCTTTGACAAAGGACTCCCAACCCTGGAGGGAAGCAGGTTACCTTCCTAAGATCAGCTTGTCCTGGTGAGGGAGCTCCCCTGGGATACCTAGCCTTTAAAATGTTAACTTGTGTTTTTCCGTCCCCTTCATTGCTGAATCTAGCCCTCCTCCCTCCCTTTTCCAGTTCTTCCATTAGAAGGACGAATAAAAAGAAGGAAAAAGAAGCAGGTTGGTAAAGATAACCAGCACATCCACTTTGCCTGACGGGACATGCTGTATTGCACACCCATAGCCCCCCACCTCTGCAAAGACAGGAAGGAGGTGCATTTCTCACCTCTTTTACCTGGGCCCATTGTGATGGGAAGTCTAATTTGAGTGACTCACTATTGAAGAATTTTGAAATTGCTTTCCTGAGAGATCAGATCACTCAAAATGCAGACAATGAAATTTTAGAACATTTACTTAATACTTATCTCCGTTTCCAGGTAGGCTGATCCTTGCAGTAATCAGGCCCATTTTACAGAAGAGAAAATCTGAGGCTCAGAGATAGACGTAAAATGACACACGGCTAGTTAAGGGACAGCTAGGTGGTGCTGCAGTGAATAAAGCACTGGGCCTAGAATCAGGAGGACCTGGGTTCAAATCTAGCCTCAAACACTTACTAGCTGTGTGACCCTAGGCAAGTCACTTTGCTCTGTTTGCCTCAGTTCCCTCATCCGTAAAATGAGCTGGAAAAGGAAATGGCAAACCGTTTCAGCATCTTTGCCAAGAAAATTCCTGATGGGGTCATGGAGAGTCAGATATGACCAAACAACAAAGTATGGTGCAGGAACAAGACTCTTGCATGCCCACTGTCCCTTTTGACTTCTTTGCCAACCCCCCCAAAAGGAAGCCAGGATGCATCCCCTGAGCTCATAAAGGGGGGCTGTTTGTTGTACAAGCCTGCTGCAAACTAGATGTGAGTGAGGACCATGGAACCTAGGTTTTTCAACTTGGAGCACAGGGAGTTGGAGTGGACCTTAGAATTCACCTAGTCTAACTCCCTAGGAGGCCACTACCTGGCTTGGTGGATAGAGCACTGGGCCTGGAGTCAGGAAGAACAGAGTTCAAATCCAGCTCCAGATACTTATTGGAGCAGGAAATGGCAAAGCACTCTAATATTTTTGCCAAGAAAACCCCCTGGACAGCATTGTTGTGCTATGGTCCACAAGGTCACAAGGAGCTGGACATGACAACAATAATAACGTCTTTATTTTACAGGAGAAGAAAATGGTCCTAGGACACATAGGTACTGAGGAGCAGGCTCCAGCTTGGGTCTTCTTGCTCAAAATCCAATGCTCTTGAATGTTAGGGCTGGAAGGAGCCTTAGAACAGGGAATGTCAGGGCTGGCAGGGGCCTTAGAACACAGAATGGCAGAACTGGACTGACCCTTAAGTCAGCCAAAGCTGGAAGGGAAATTAGAAGAGAGAGTGCCAGAGCTGGAGGAAAACTTGGAACAGAGAATTTCACAGCTAGAAGGGACCACAGAGTCCATCAAATCCAACCCTCTCATTTTACAGATAGGAAAATTGAGGCCTAGGGAGAGGGAGGGATTTGCTCAGCCCCCTCCCCATCTTCCACCACTACAGGACTATCAAGCCGGAGCTAATCCCCTGAGCCCCCTCCAAGGACCTGAACTAACTCTGAGGTTCCCTTTCTGTCAAATCTCATGATTGTTGGGTTTGAGTTTTTGCCTTGTTTTTAAAAAACCCTATCATGTACAGAGATACTCTCTCACTGGGCTTTGGCCCAGCCAGCCTTTCATCCCTTTTATTTTGACTCCCGTGCCCTCCTTTGCTTGAGCTGGACCCTTCTTTCACCAGCAGCTCCTGGTTTCTGGCTTGGATCCTTAGTGCAAGAGTGGTGCGGTGGCCAGCTCCCCAGTCTCTTAGTTTTGCTGTCCCTCTTTCTGAGGAGCGAAGAGGAGGAGCCCTCTCCTTTGCACCCATGGGAGGGATGAGATAAGCCAGTGTGCTTTGTTAGGGCCCCTAGCTGCCCCAGGCTAGAGGAGGAAGGTGTAGGGAGCAAAAAGCATAGCTGGGTTTGGAGTCAGAGGTCCTAGGTTCAAATTCAGAGTCTGCCATTTACTGCCCTTGTGACCTTGGGCACTTTACTGGGCCTCAGTTACCTCCTCTGTAAAATGAGCCAGTAGGTCTAGATCGCCCTCTAAGGGTCTTTCCAGCTCTGACACTCTGATTCCAAAGACATTCAAACAGGGCTAAAGGTCCTGGTGTAGTGGAGATCCCTGAGTTACCAGGTGGCTCACCTTGGGTTTGAACATCACACCCTCTATGCCACTTACTAGCTGTGAGACCTTGGGCAAGTCACTTCTCTTTCTCTGAATCCAAAGTTTATTCTTCTAAAATATGTGCAAAATAAAGGGTTGGGAAAAGACCCTAATGTTAGGAAAGATTGAAGGCAAAAGGAAAAAGGGACAGCAGAGTATGAGATGGATAGAGTGTCATGGAAACAATGAAAATGAACTTGGACAGACTTCTAGGGATAGTGGAAGATTGGTCCACGGGGGCATGACTGAACAACAACATAGGTTTGGACTTGGTGATCCTCGATTGGGACTCAGTGACTGGAAGGGTCTCACTGTGTGACCTTGGCAAGTCACTTCTCTCTCTGGGCCTCAGTTTCCCCTCCCCTCGAGTAAAATGGGAGTGGGGGGGAAGAGTTATCTGTCTACATGGCCTCTGAGGACCCTTTCCAAAAGAAAAACCTTGCGATCTCCAACTAGAGGTTGGATCTGTCTTCCCCTTGTTCCCCAACACACACACACACACACACACACACACACACACACACACACACACACACACTTTCTCTTGTGTCTCTGACTCTGTGGTCCCTTTTGGGGTTCTTTAGGGGCCAAACACAAGCCTGGCCAGAGATCATATCGTAGGGCAAAATCAGAGACTAGCAGTGTCTCAACATCTCGAAGGCTTTCCCCGCACGCTCCGTCGGGGCTGCCGAGGGCTCGCCCGAGCTGGAGCTGTCTTTTCCCGGGACCGCACGGCTGCCGCTGACGTCTGCACTTCCTCCGATTCTCCAAAGACCACCCCCCCAACCCCCGCCCCTCACAGCCCCGCAGCCTCGCGGGGGGTGGGAATTCTGCTCTGAAGCCCAGCAGAGGGGAAATCAGCATGCGAGGAGGGGAGGAGGGACAGGGAGGGGAGGGGAGGGGGCAGGAAAGGGAAGTGCCAGAGCCACCCCCACCCGGCCCTCGCGGTCTCTCTCTCGCACCCCCCACGCCCCCACCCCCCCGCACCCGCCGCCGCCACTCTGCTCGGAGCAGCCTCCAGACCGGCCGCGTTCCGGGACGTCTCGCCGCTGCCTCCCTGCCTCCCCGGCCGCCTCTCTGCAGCCCTCTCTGTCCCTGTCCTCGCCGGCCGCCTGCTCTTGGACCCTCCAGCAGTCCCGGCGCCCGGCAGCCCTAGCACCTGCGCCCGGGGCCTCGCGCCCCGCGCCCTGCGCCCGCCGGCGAGGGGGCACGGGCTCCCCTCGCCTCTCCAGGCTCCGCTCAGCCCGAGCCCGAGCCGGAGCCGGAGCTCGCCCGGCGCCGGGAGCCTGCGGCACAGTCGGAGCCGCCGCGGCCAATCGGAGAGCCCGCCGGGCGGGGAAGGACGGCCACGACGACCCAGGGAGGAGGGTCCCGGCGAGGCGCCAGTGACCTCGGGAACGAAGGGGTCGCCAACTCGTGGCCGCAGCCGGTCCACGGGCCCGCCGGGCCGCTGCCCGCACAGCCGCGGACCCCGGAGGCGCAGGCCACTCTAGCCCAGCCCACTGCCCTCCGGGCCGGCCCTCCGCCCTCCCCGCCCCTCCTCCCCTACCGTCTGTCCCCTCCCCTCCCCTCCCTCCAGCCCAGTCCACCCCACGTCGCGCAGCAGGCAGACGGAGTGAGTGAAGCTTGCGCGTCCCGCTCGAAGATGCTACGGCTGTGTTGCGGGGCCGTCCCGGCCGCGCTGCTCCTGCTAGCCTGCTTCTGCGTTCCAGGTAAGGTGAACGCCAGCACCTGTCCTCCCGGCCGGCTCAGCCTGGCCCCGCTGGCCCCCTCGGGCTTCTCCCCTTCGGGGCCCCGGCGTGGGTGGGCGCCAAGTGCTTCTGACAACTGGAGCAACTGGGGCTGGGGCCGGGGGTGGGGGTGGGGAGTCGTCAGGCACGGTTTGGGGCTCCGGGTTGGCCAGCTGCCAGCCACCTGAACCTAGTGGCGAGGCATCGCAGCCAACTAGGGAAGAAGCCGTCGGGGCAGGAGATTCCCAGAGACTGCGGGGGATCCCCAGGAATTGGGAATTAATGCCTGTCTCGTGGCAGCGGTTGCTTTTTTTTTTTGGTGTGTGTGTGTGGGGAGTCCCTGGCACCTCTTTCCCAGTTGCCTTGCAATCCCCCTGTCCCTGCTGTGCAAACCACTCCCCTCCATCCAGTGCAGACCGCCCCCCCCACTTCTGATGAAACCCTCCTTTTAGTCCCAACCTGATAAATTCACTTGCATTGAGACTGAGAAGCAGGGTCTGAATTCAAATCCTCCTTAGTTGCAATCAGTGGCTCACAAGGTCCGTTCTAGCTCTGATATTTAGTTTTCATCTGTGGTCCATGTTTTTGCGTGTTCTAAGGTTCCTTCCAGGGTTCCTCCTATTCTGCGTTCTAGACAATCTGGGGCCCCTGCCCACTCCTACGATGCCCGTGCCCTCCTACAGTAGCCCATGTTCTTTGCTCCAACTTTGGACGCCTTTGGGCACAAGGAGGCTCTGCTGTTCCCGGGCCCAAGGACTGGGTCACCAGTGAACTAGGAAAGACCCGACATGAAACTCGGTTCCTTTGGAGGATCTGGTTGGGACAGAGGAGACGCCCTGGCCTCCTCGAAGGCTAGCCCTTCCGGGACCATTGTGGAGAATGGAGGCAAGGGGCCGAAAAGGCAGGCAGGCAGAGTCAGAGTTAAATATGGCGCCTTTTTGGAGGCAACTATTTTAAATATTTTGCCATTTTAATTGTTGGGTATTTTCAGCCCTGATATGTTTCCAATTAAACCACACACACACACACACACACACACACACACACACACACACACACACACACACACCCCACACACACGCGCGCGCGCACACACACACACACACACACACACACAAAATCCCCGACACCCCTCAGCCAGTTGAACTTGCTCCCAGAGCGAAGGCAGGTGCAGGCGAAGCATCGGGCCGCTAGGTGGCGCCAGCTGCCGCTAACGGCCCAGAGCAATCGGCGGGATGGACGGCTGCCCAGGGGCTGCACCAGCCTCACCTGACGACCCCCCACCTGCAGCTGCTCTTGCCAGCTCCGCAGCTCCCACCCCCACCCGGGCTTGGAGACCACAGACGTCAATCGAGGGTCTCCTAGATTCCAGGGTGAATAGAATAAGGCTCCAGTTCCTGAGTGCCATCCCTCTGTGCTCCCCCTCCCCATCTTGATTCCATGAAATCCCACCCTATCCCCGGGAAGGCTCCTGGGTTTGATCCCTTACTCAGTCCCCTTTGATCTCTCAAATCTGGGCTTACCGCCTGAGAGCACAGGGATCTCAGAACATAGAACTCAGCGGGAGGGACCTGAAAACCCAGAATTTCAGAGACAGAGGGCATGAAATATCAGCTAGAAAAAGCTTTAGATGATCCTCTCATTTTACAGATGAAGAAACTGAGACCCAGAGAGAGGAAAGGGACTTGTCCAAAGTCTCATAACTAACTCAGCTAGTCAAAAAGCAGCTAACAAGCATTTATTAAGTATTTACTATGGACTAGGCACTATGGTATGTGCTGGGGATGCAAAGAAAGGCAAGAACATGGTCCCTGCCCTCAAGAAGCTCACAGGCCAATGGGGAGCAGAGCCAGGAGCAGACCCTAGATCTTCTGACCTTCAGTCTAGGGCTCTTTCATAACATCAAAGTGTAGAGACCTCTGCCCTTTCACAAAGCCAAAGCTAATGTGGCCTTGATCTAGTTCCTTCAAGAAGCTTAGGAGTGACATCTTAAAGCTGATTATTGAAGGAACAGATAGTTATTGATCTTCCGTTTGCTTCTCTCCTCCATCCCCTCCCTTCCTTTCCCTTCTCCTCACTTTAACCCTGGTGCCTGGCTTCTCTGCTCCCCTCTCCTTTCCTCCTGTATCCTCGTCCCCTTTCCTTTCTTCTCCTCCCATGGTCCCTGGTTTTTCCCCTCCCCTCTCCTCATCTCCCTTCCTCCCTGCTCCCCTCTATCCTCCCCCCTCCCTTGTTCCTCTTCTCTCTCCTCCTCCCCCGCCGTGGATTCTCCTCTCTCCTCTCCCTTCCTCTCCCCCTTCCCCTTCCCTCCCCCTCCTCCCTGGTTTTTTCCCTCCTCTGCCCTCTCCTGAGTTCTTCTGGTTTCTCTTCTCCACACTGTCCCTTTCTGATTTTATCTGGGTATGGGGAGACTCCTACCTCTTTTCATAGGATTAGAGTTACCTGTGACCCCTCTGATGCCTTCCTCTGGATTGTAAGGGCAGGGCCAACATAGCGAGCCTCTTGAAAGGCAATGTGGGTTCTTGCTCAGAGGCCATAAGATCCTATGTCTGGAGCTGGAAGAGGGCTCAAAGGCCAACCAGTCTAACACCTTCATTTTCCAGAGGAAGGGAGGAAATCAGCATTTATATAGCACCTACAGTATACCAAGGTGGGGGAGGGGAAAATGTTATGTGCCATTATATGCCAGGTACTGTGCTAAGTACTTTACAAATGTTATCTCATTTGATCCTGAGGTAGGTGCCGGTAGGACTCCTATTTTACAAATGAGGAAACTGAGGCTAACTGAAGAAGTGACTTGAACAGGGTCTCACAGCTAGTAAGTTTCTGCATCTGGATTTGAACTCAGGTCTTTCTGACTACACCCAGCCACCTAGCTGGAAAGGAATCAAGGCTTGCCCAGGCCTCTTGCCCATTGTCACAGTGTCTGAAGCCTAGGCCTTCCTAACTCCAGTCACTTCATGGTGCTGACTAGTGATTTCCACAAAGCCCGGCTCTGATATGTCTGGGCCCTCCTTCAGGGCTGTCTGTACAATGAAAGGGGACTGGGAGGTAGGAAGACTTCATCTGTCCTCCACCCTGTAGCTTCAGCTCAGCAGTCAGGCCCCAGGAAAGGTGTGAAGTTTTCTAAGTTTGCATTGCTGGCCTGGTTTCAGCCTCCTGCTTCTAGGTCCTAGCATACAAATGGAGGAGATGGCCTGAGGGCCTTGGGGGTACTTTGATCACATTAGAGAGAGGGCACTTGAGAGGGACCCAGGAGCATGTTCAGAGTGCTGAGTCCTAACTGGGACATCTGGAAGACTCCAAAGCCTTTGGATTTTAGGTGCCTGGCTGGAAACATAGGAAATTTCATGGGACTGGGGCTTCTGGGCAGTCCACCAGGTGTAACATCAGGTTGTCTACAGGAAGCCAGCCCTTCTAGGCAGCTCAGTGATGAAAAGAACCCTTCCGTCTGGACATTAAGGAGCAGGCCCGGTGCCTGGCCTGCCAGTCAGAACAGCTGGTTTTAAGTCCCTGGCTGTGTCACTTATTAGCTGTGTGACCCTAGGCAGATCACCTCCCCTCTCTGGGCCATCAGTCAAATGAGGGATAAGCTTACTCAGATGATCTCTGACGTCTTGAACAGTCTGTGAGCCTTTCTTTGCTGGATGGGACTTTGGAAATCATCTAAGCCAACCTCTTCATTTTACAGGTTAGGAAACTGAGGCCTAGCGTGTTGTAATTGGAAGGGATCTTAGAGGTAATCTACTCCAATCTCTTCAATTTACAGGTGAAACACATTTGGCTGGCAGACCTGGCATATCTAAGCCCAGCTTTCTCCTTCTCATGGCCTAGGGTTGATGGGGAGGGTCTGGGGGTAGTAGTCAGTGAGGATCAAATGAGATTATATTTGCAAAGCATGTGGCACAGTGCCTGGCACATAGTAGGTGCTTAATAAATGCTTATTCCCTTCTCCAATTTCCCCACCCCCCCACCCCCACCCTCAGTTCACTGTCTATCGCACCTTGCCAAAATATACCCCTATATATGGATATGTCTATTCAGATATGGCTAGCTCTTCCAGATGATGGGTAGTTGAAGGAACTGAAGATACTGAGCCTGGACCAGAGAGGCCTTGCAGGGGCTGGAATGGGTGAGGTGGTGGGGAGACCCATGATTGATGACTTCAAGTATCAGAAGGGCTACAGGGGTGGGGAACCTGCGGCCTCGAAGCCACATGTGGCCCTTTAAGTCCTCAAATGTGGCTCTTTGACTGAATCCAAGCTTCACTTTGTGTGAAGTTTGGATTCAGTCAAAGGGCTGCACTTGAGGACCTAGAGGGGATTTGTTCTGTGAAGTTTGGATTCAGTCAGTGGGCCACACTTGAGGACCTAGAGGGCAAAGATTTGTTCTGGTATGTTTGGATTCAGTCAGAGGGCCACACTTGAGGACCTAGAGGACCACATGTAGCCTCAGGGCCGCAGGTTCCCCACCCCTGGGCATACCAAATTTGTTTTGCTAGGTCCCAGAGGGCAGAGCTAGGAGCAGTGAGTGGAAAGTTAGAGAGATGCAGATTTCTGCTCAATATAAGGAAAAACTTCACAGAATCACAAAGAATTCCAGAGTCGGAAAGGGCCTCAATGGTCATTTAGTCCAAGTGCAAGACTTCACATTTTTATCCATATTGAATTTCATCTCCTTCAGTTTGGCCCAAGGTTCTGTCCTATCAAGAGCCTTTTGAGTCCTGACTCTCACATTCACTGTTAGCACCCCCTCCCATTTGATAGTATACCATCTCTTCCTTTATTTTAAAATGCTTTAATAGTATTTTTTGTTGTTATTTTCCAATAACCCTTCCACCAGAGAATTCTCTCATAAAAAAGAAAAATAGTTAAGCAAAACCAATGAACCCAAGAACTGTGTCAGACAGCAATCCACACCTGGAGCCCTACCACCTCTTTACTGAGAGAGGGGAAGGGTGTTTCATCGTCTATTCTCTGGAA